AAAGTTTCTTCTCAATAAGCCCCATGATATCCTGTGACCTCTGAGAAACTTGCCCCTTGGGGGTCCTGATAAAACGATGCCTTGGAAGGCATCCTCCCACGACTATGTCGAGTTCATCACCGAGAGAACTTGTCTGCAGCGGTCCGCTGGTGGAAGAGACATGTTTAAACGTGGTTTGTTCAGCATGAACCTGTGCAGGTATCAACTGGAATCTCTGTAGCAATACTTTTTGACCTGGTATTTGAAACATTACTTTTAGGGTCTCTTTTATGGCCTGTGGCACTTTACTTTCTTTAAATAGTTCAGTAAATACTAGTTTTCCAGATTTGATCTTGAAACAGACATCCAGAACCAAATCAGATCAACCATGTAGAAAGTCAACTTTAAAATTAAAAATAAAATAAGGGAAGGGAGGCATGAAGTTGCATGAGTTTAACCTGTGTTTGCCGGGAACCCCACCTGCAGAAGCTCAGAAATGCTCTGAGCAATGGCAAACCAAACCGCACTGCCTTCAAGCCCGTTCCGACTCATGGTGACCTGACAGGGCAAAGCCTCATCTTTCTCATGAGGAGCAGCTGGCAGTTTCGAACTACCCACCCAGCTGTTAGCAACCCAACGTGAAAGTTAATATGCAGCCAGCCCAAGTGACTGAAGAGTCAAACCTATTTGAATACAAAAACACTCATGTGCCTCTTATCAAAATCAGCCTGATGAATCTACACCGTGAGGTTTTGCTAGATGTGACTCACACTACGCAACGCACCAGCTGAGCATCCCCACCGGCTCCGCACATCAACCACCTCTTGGACTTTAGAGTGTTTCATAAGCACAGAGGGGGATGGGGGGGGGCGTACCCTTCTCTCGACCTCTGACAATGCCATCTGCCCACAGGTTGGGGAGAAAATGTTTGGTAGACAGCAGTGTTTCCCAAAGTGGGTGATACCACTGCGGGGGGCCGGGGGAGGGGGGCACTTCAAAGGCAGATACCGGCACTTTACCCTGGATTATTGGCCAGGGGGAGAGGGGATGCTTAGTAAACTTTTTCTGAAAAATAAATTTGGGAACCTATGGTATCCAAACTCTGGTAGCACAATGGTTAAGTGCTCACCTGGGAACTGGAAGGTGGGTGGCTAGAACCATCCAGGGGCTCTGTGAGAGAAACTTTCTGTCATGAAGGCAGCCTGGAAAGCCCTGTGGGACAGCTTCGCTCGTCGTGAACCGAAATCAACCTGACGGCACCTGACGACCACCACCACCACACCGAGGAGTGGCACTCACCTGCTACCAGTCTCTGGGCCAGGCAAAGGTGGTTCTGTGCGTGACACTGTTCTCCCAAATAGCCCTTCCAGACACCTCCCTCCAGGTGACTGTGGCTGCCAGAAAGGAGTTAGGTGTGGGGTGCCGTTCTTCGTAGGTCGCTTTGAGAAGCGCATACCTAAATCCCTTCAACCATGAGCGCAAGGAGGGAGGGCGCAGGCAGGACCGGCGGTGTTTCCTTCTGCTGCTCCTAGCTCCGAGTCCGAGTGGGAGCCGCCTCAGAGGCACCAAACCACGAGAACAGACTCCTTCGGGAGGCCGGGGCCTGCTCAGCTAGCAACGCTGCAGAGAGTAGTACTGTATGTGGAAACTCTCTGGAAGGCCTTGGAAGAAAACCCTTCCTCCTGTTGGTTGCCTTCGGCAGCCCCACCAAGCAGAGGAATGCGTCCGAGTCTACTCCAACAACTCATTGGGACCCTATGGGGCAGGGTAGACGTGTCCCT